TTCTAGGACACTCTGGAAAAGGCCAAACTAAAGGGAGAGAAATCAAATCAGTCATTACCAGGGCCTGGAAGTAGGGGGAGAAGCATGAGAGAATGTTTGGGGGTGATGGAAATATCCTATATCTTGATTATGGTAGTGGCTATCCAACTATATCAATTTGCTAAATTGCATAAAAGTGTACATCTAAAAAGGGTGAATTGTACTTCATGTAAATTATAAATCAATAAACAAGAGAAAGACATAAAATCCAAATCAAAAAAATAATAATAATTGCAAAGAATGTTTGCTTTGAAGGGCACATTAGACACCCCCAACTATAGACACTCAGAGAGGTTTCTGGAGATTTCTCTGCCCACGCCCTTCAATACGAGGCATCCTGCTAGGTGCATTGGGGGTTATGAAAATAAACAAGAACACAGGCCCTGCCCCCAAAAGCTGATCTAGTTGCAAAGATTGACATGTGGACAGCTAACTCTATAGGAATTGCATTGTTGACACCAGTAACCAGGAAGCAAAGTCACAAACAGACCAAAGGATAGAATATTTGAAAATGGAATACCAGAAATTCCATTATGTGATATGGCCACAGCTAACTCTTAAGTAGGAAAAGAAAAGGCCGAGCGCAGTGACTCACGCCTGTAATCCTAGCACTCTGGGAGGCCGAGGCAGGCAGATTGCTCAAGGTCAGGAGTTCAAAACGAGCCTGAGCAAGAGTGAGACCCCATCTCTACTATAAATAGAAAGAAATTAATTGGCCAACTAATATATATAGAAAAAATTAGCCAGGCATGGTGGTGCATGCCTGTAGTCCCAGCTACTTGGGAGGCTGAGGCAGAAGGATCGCTTGAGCCCAGGAGTTGGAGGTTGCTGTGAGCTAGGCTGATGCCATGGCACTCACTCTAGCCTGGGCAACAAAGCAAGACTCTGTCTCAAAAAAAAATAAATAAATAAAATAAATAAATAAATAAATAAAAATTTTAAAAAAAAAAAAAGAAGGAAAAGAAAGGAGAGGATGGGAGGGAAGGAAGCAAAAAGAGGCATCTACTCACCAAAGAATCTCTGAGCACCTACCATGCTCCAGGGCTCTGCCCAGTGCCGTGGATAGAGCAGCTGACCCCATGTTCTGTGGGGTCAGAGTGACAGGTTAAGGGTTAAGGGGTCAGAGTGGGGTTAAGTGTCAGGAAGGATCCAGAAGGATTTCTCAGGGAAGAGGCCAAGAGTTGGATCATAAAAGGTTTCCATGGGTAAGCAGGGATGTCTAAGGACACCCTAAGCAATAGCAACAGGTGCACATACACACACCAGCAAACTAATTCCAAAATATAGTTTAGAAATGATCATTCATGGAAGAAATAAGGCTTCAGGGCCAGGCTGGGAGTGAGATCATGGAGGGTCTTGCAAACTCCCAGCTGTTGTTTTTGTTTGTTTGTTTATTTGTTTTTTAAGGAATTGGAAGCCAGTGAAGAAAGTAAAAGACAAGAGCAGACCTGAGCTTTAGAAATATCCAGCAGGGATATGAAAGGCAACAAAGAGGACAGGTAGGAGATTACTGTACCTGAAAAAGGCAGCCGGGAGGATGGAAAAGAAGGGGCATATTTGGGCCAAGGAAGTGGCTGCACATCTGGGTAATAAGCACGGCCACACTAAGACGATGAGCTGAGCAAACCCAAACCCAGCAGCAGCCCCCAAGAGCTGCAGCCTCCACACGGGGAAGTGAGGATCCAAGACTGAGTCACGGTGAGTTTCTGAGCCCAACACTAGGCATCTGTGCACACGCTGCCTTCTCCCTAGGAACTGGTTACCCCAGGCAGAAAAGCAAACGTGCCAGGTGGAACCTGAAGCTGCCTAGGGAAACAAGATCACCGAGAACCAAACACTATTGCTTCTGTACAGAATGGGGCTGCTGCCCAGGGGGAAGATCAGAGTGCTCCATTCCCACCCTCCAGGACTTCCAGGAGGCTAGGAAGGGCAAGGTGGGATGCCACAAGTATGCATCCTGGCAAGACAGGAGGAGAAATGAGGACGAGCGGGGATAAAAGTATTCCTTTGAATGAGTGGAGTCCTGTAGCTAAAATGCCCTTTGGGTTTTAGCCCTCCTTGATCACCAACAGGGCATCAGGCCTTTTGCTCAGAGGCAAAAGGCATTTATTTTTGTTTCCTGCTTACACCACCCACCCCTCCCACCACCCCACCCTACCCCCACCCCCGACCCCAGTCACTAAATACTAGCCAACGGGACTCAGGAAGCAAAGACCGGGTTGGGAGGTCACGTGCTCACTCCCCTCCTCATCCCTCAAACTCTGCCACCAACATAAATAAAAACTCCTCTCACTCCAAATCAAATAAACAGAGCACTCTCCAGGACCCAGGACTCGGATTTTTTTCAATCCTCTCAGCCCACTAGCACTGGGGAAGAAAATAAAGATTAAGTGGATGGTATTAACAAGGAGCAACACAGAAGTCTCAGGGTGCATCCAAGAGACTGTGGATTATAAGAGAGGAGCCACTTGTGGAGGTGAGAAGGCAAGAGGACAAGGAAGGCATTTCTTGGTGCCTGTTTGGTTGTAAGTGCCCTGCCCTTTTATCCCAATGGCACGCACATCTGATAGGAAGGGGCTGTTAAATTAGCACTCCCTCTCCACCTGGCAGGAGCAATTTATTCAGCCAAGACTAGTGGCTCCTTACAAGGTTGTCCTGAACACTCCTGCAAGCTCTGTCCAGTACGAGGCTCCAAGTTTCCACAGAGCATCACTTAGAACAGAAACATCTAGCACGTCCCTGAGCATCCTGGTTGGTGGCAACAGGGCCCAGGCACTCCTCTGCACCCTGAGCCCTGCTCCACCAGCACTAGCAGCAGTTTGTGCCCTGAGATACGTGGTGTGTTTTACAATGGGAGACCCAGGGAGGAGCCGGTCCCAATCCAGCCAGGGGCTGGGCCATGACTGAGCCCCTCTGGTGGAAGGACTATGTTCCAAACAGACAGAACTGTTTTCAAGGAGACTTGGTGAGATTCTGGGCAAAGCTGAAGGAGTGTTCAAGAGATTCAAGATCGCTTTGAGAGATTCCAGGCACTCACAGGACCTAGATGACAAAGTGACACAGAAATGAAGCAGGTCCTCCTCCTTGCCTCCGCATGAAGCCCAGCCTTGCTCTGGCACCTGGAGGGACAGCTTTGGCCGTAGCTGGAGTTAGTCCCACTGGCCGAGACCTGGGTGCTCTCAATATGGGCACAGCCAGCAATGAGTGTCCTTTGGACAGAGGGGGAAATTATGACTAGCTTGTGGAAGTATGTAGGGCACCTCAAAATAAGGACTAAGGGGGGAGGAGGTTACTGCTTGAGCAGATGAGGGTCTTGGAGTCATTGTAATTTGGGAGTAAATGTAAATGTGGCACCATGTTGCAATCACACACAGGAGAGGCTGGGAAGATCAGTTGTAAGAATAGACACTAATGGGAGCTCAGGTCCACTCAGCAGGCTGTGGGATTCGAACAGGCTGTCCAGAACTTCAGAAGATCTTGCAGAAGCCAATTGTGGATACAGAGATCGATTTTCCGGGAAGACTACACTGGAACTGGTTGTTAGGCTCCCAGGCTGGTTGACAAAATGCCTCAGTAGCTCACAATGTGGCTGAAATAAAGCCAATACCACTTGACCCACGTAGGGAGGAGAGTTTGAGGGGTGGGAATTGGATAGTTCCCCAAATAAAAGAGCTGATCAGCTGAACCTGTTCATGAGCCGGGCATGTGTGTGTCCATCACACGGACACAGGGATATGTGTGCGCATGTGCACATACACACATGCTCAGAAGAGCCGGTAAGAAATCACCTTTTGCGGGGCACAATCACTAGCTCTTGTTCAAGAGTGTAGGGTAAATTTTGAAGGAGAGAGCTGCTAGCTGAGTTACTTGCAAAAACAATAGCACTGGAAGTCTTGTTTTCCTCTCCTCTGGATCTGCTCTGTGCTATCAGATGCAAGCCCTCCAATGTCACAACATATTCTCCAAAGGAGGTGAATGGAGACCCCAGGAGAGAGCCCTCATGCCTCCCTCAGAAGTCATGGACACCCCTAAGTTCCTCCTTCATGAGCCAGTTGCACCAGCTGAGCCCCTACCCAACATGCTTCCTGCCACACCCCCAACATGGCAACGGCCCCACGGCCCGTGTCAGGACTGAGCCACTGAATCCAAAAGACGACTTCCCTCTTGGCCAGCTCTCCTTTCCAATCCTGCAGCAGGGCTGCCTTTAGCCCTCACAAGACACTTCTTGGCATTCTTGGTGGTACTGCTGTTCGTTTTCTGACCTTAGAAAATATCAGCCCATTCACATATTGTGCTCTTACCATTTACTGTTCCCCTTATCAACACAGAGGGGCCCAGAGCAGCCTCACCGCAGGGCCACCCACGAGAAAAGACTCGCACACAAATTGTAAACACAGCAGGATGAAGAGGCAGAGCAGTATACCACCTGGGCCCCTGGGAATTATTTCATAGCCCCATAATCGCTCAATGGAGAAACTGGTGTATTTTTAATGTCGTGGAATTATCACAAAGGAAAATGTCATCTGAGTGCCCATTTCATTTGGGCAAGATCCTGTGGCGCACACAGAGGCCCGTCTTCTTACGTACTCACAGGGTGGAGAGATTTACACTGACGAGGGAGGTAGCAGAGGAAGAGATGCTTTATGCACAGCACTTGAGGAAATCCACTCCCTCACAGCACTAAGCCCAGGGGATCAAACTGAGCAAGTGCAGACTAAAACAAACAGAAGAAGAAATCCCAGTCTTGCCATATCATCGGATTCTGTCGGGGCCGCGTGTATTTGAAATGCATGCTTCCTTTTATTGCTGTTCCCACCATCATCTTGAGATCCTGCAGTACTGGTGCCTGGCTTTGGATCACCAAACGCACATGCACTTATACACACGTAAGCATGCACGTGCGCGCACGCGCACACACGCGCGCGCACACATACACACCTTAGACACTCAAAGTCACTTACAGGCAAAAACCAAGAAGAAATCGTTCGGTGCATGTGGAACTGCCACGTGCCACGTAAACCCTGGTGCTGTCGGACCATCTCGAGCTGAAAATCCCTAATGCATAGCTGGGACAAGGATTGATTACTGCTGTCCTGGTCCCAGGCTCACGTGCTACTTTGCACAAGTGTGAGGCTGTTCTGAGCAAGAAAGAAATCCTGTTGACCCAAACTGGGCCAAGGAAAAGTAAATAAAACCATGTCAAATTCTACAGGCAGGAACAGGAGATCTGTGGAAAACCAGAGCAAAACCACTCCTGAGGTAGAGAAAGAATGGTTCTTCCATGTTCTAACCCTTTTTGTTCCTGGGCAGAGAAAATGTCTTTCTTTTAAGGGTAAAATTCATATTTGATTTTTGAGGATCTGTTTCTATGAGTCCATACATGTGTAACCCTGAAGTTCTGATTTCCCTCAAACAAGGGATTGGGAAACAGACTGAGAGGACATTTACCTTTGCACTGGGCAGATCCCATCTGTTAAGCAATCCTGTGAAAGTGAGAGAGCGAGGGGCAGGCTGAAGCCACTCTGGAAAGCCTTCGGGGACAGCAGCAAGCCTGCTCCCTCCCAAGAAACAGTGACTTCACAGGCTTTCTGATACAAGGTATGGTGCCCACAAAACTCGGTACTAAAGACTTTCACCCAGCCTTCAAAGGGGTTCTCATGACTTTTTATTGGCCAGGAAAATGCTCACAATATAAAATTAAATAAGACTAAAGCAAAATATCAAACATACATATAAATGTAAATATATATATATCTCCTCCCATTCCAGAGAGAGAGAGAAAGATAAAAGATAAGAAATACACTAAAATGCTAAGAGTGGCTATCTCTAAATGGTAGGAATACAGATGGATTATAGATGGGTTTTGTTTTTCTCTTTGCACTTTGCTTTAGTTTCCAAGTTCCCTACCATATGCCTATTTTTAAGGGATGAGAGTGAGGCACAGACAAAACTGCAGACAGATTGACCCAGACCAGCCTCTTAAGCAAAGCTGTATACAAAGCTCTACCCTAAACTCTGGTGTCACCTCAGGAACCACAAAATCTGACAGCCAAGGGCCCACCCAAGGCCAGGCCTAGGAGGGGACTGCCCGGACTTGCAGTGGGACTCGGGGTGGGAGGGAAGGGTGCCTTCTTGGCCCCCTTATCTCCAGGAGTCTGGTGAGGTTTCCTGTTCTTCTGTGTCACACCCAAAGCTCTCAGAAGATCAACACAGACCAGCTCAGTGGCTCTTCCAGGCAGTGCCATTAGCTTTGTGGGGCCCCAGTGACCTCAGGCAGTGTCTACGCAGGCATCAGCCTCCTCACCACGCAGTCTCCCTCGTCAGCCCAGAGGCACGGCCTTCTCTACGGAGCAACTCAGTCTCCGCAGTCGGGATGAACTCTAATCTCCAAGCCAACAAAGGACGGATGTGGGTCTGCCAGCAGCACTCAGCAGCCTTCCAGGTGCACACGCCTCCTGGGTCAGCCGTCAGCCTAGAGGGTGATGATGGGTGGTGAACATGCCATCCACAGGGGGCTGGGGGAGGAATTAAAATCACTCGGCCAAAAAATAAGACCTCAGAGGACAAGCAGCTCTAGCTTCAGGTGCAGGAGGGAAGCAGAGTGCCACCTGCTCTCCCACCATTCCTGAAAGATGCCCTGAGAACAAAAGTCCCCTAGCATTTACTTCCTTGCAAAATAATTTGAAAACTGCAAGATAAAATTTTATATTCTAGCTCTACAACTTGCCACATTCATTCAATAGATATTTGTTAACCGCCCCCTCAATGGGCTAGGCACTGTGCCAGGCACTGGGTACACAGTGATGGTCACAGTGCCATGGTCCCTGCCCTTGTGGCCTCAGGGGCTGTGTTGAGTCTCCACAATCTTTGCTGTTTGTGTTTCACATCCAGATGATGTCCTAGGCCCTTGGTACTGCAGAGTCAGATCCCAGAGTGGTCCTCAGAGTTCCAAGTAGGGTTAAGCCAAAGCACGACCACCCACATGTAGCAAACTCCTTGGAGAAGGTTCTTCTTGGTCTGAGTCACAACATGGGAGCACCCCACAAAAGGCAATTTCATTCCTGACCTTATCTGGAAGAACATAACTCTAACGAAAACCCAGAAAACTAGCTGGAGGAGGGACTTGGGAGGCCCCCAGGCCAACTCCAGAAGTTGCTCAAGCTAATCAGAGTGTGTAGGCTGTGTCAAGCTACAGGGCTGACTGCCTCCTGGCCTGGTCTCCAAGAGGACAGGGCTAAGGATAACGTGTGCTGGATTGCTTGCTCTCATATAAGAAACTATTTCTTCTAGGGAAAGCAGAAAAAGACAATTTTTACATTGTCCCGTTTTATCCCAATAAATTATATCCTCCCAAGTTCTGATGCATTTTAAAGTATCTCTTCAGAAGACACTTAAAGTAGAAGTTGCTTTGCTTTAAATAGATTCTCCATGCTAGATCTAAATCTGTTGGGGTCCCAGTATCCACCAGAAAACTGCCTAAAAATTATATTTTAGGGCAGAAGTTCCAAGAAAGAAGACTATATTTATCTAAAACCTAGACTATAAAGCACCTAATTGCACCACTAAAATTTCCAAGCACTCTTAGAGGGAGTTAGAGAGGAAGAAGCTGGAGTAGAAATGAATTTTCAAGGGATTTCCATTTATTGGGTGCTTGCCATGTGCCAGGTAGAGGGCTGGGTATTATAAACAAATGATTATAATTGATCCTGACAACTCAAAAGGTAATATTTTGCAACCAGCTTTGCAGATGGAAAAACTTAGGCCCAGAGAAGTTAAACAATTGCTCAAGGCCATTCAGTCAGAATTCAAACCCAGACCTATGACTCCATTTTATCTCAGTCAACAAGGACCAAAGAGCTGCATGAAGACCCAAAGGACTGAAACTCCTGACCCAGCCTCCGACTACATTAAGGTTCAGTAATTTAAAAAATTCACCAATGTGGTTATGTTTTTGCACAACTGAGTAAAGAAAATGTAGATTTCTCATATCCTACCACCACATTCTCACCTCCTCCCAATCATCCCCTTAAAAAAATATGGGACAGGAGGCAGTGGGGGGGGTAGAACTAAACAAAGACTCTGAGTCTTTCACAGCCCATAGCACCTGGACCACGGCAGCAATCTTCCCAGGACCCAGCATTTCCCTCTGTGGACCAAGTCCACCCCATCCTTCCTGCCCCACCTGGCTGGATGGAGGGTTGCTCTCTCTCTTTCTCCTGAGGAGCTGCTCTCTGACCCAGCAAGATGAAAATAAGAAAAACAAAACTCAGAGTCAATGCCATTCTGTTTATGATGTGGGGGAAAGGGGCTGTCCTTGCTTATGGGTGGGTGGGGAGAGGGAAATGGACGCCAAACTAAATCAATATCCCAACTGTCAATCAGCTGTGACATTTTTAACAGAAACCAGATGCGAGCCCTCAACAGGACATAGCAAAGAAGGTGACGCTGCGTGGGGAGGTCCTCTGTCCTGGGCAGAAAACGCAGGGCAGGTGGTGGCATCATGGACTTTCATGAGACAGGCCTAGGAGCCAGTCCTGGTCTGGGGACCTTGGTCAAGACCTTGGTCAAGCCTCCATGAGCTTTCGGTTTCCTCATCTGTTAAGGCATGGAAATACAGCAGTTCTCGTAAAAAGGCTGTTCTGAGGATGCGAGAGTAGGTTGTCACATAAAATTGCTTGATATATCTTAGATGTTACTATATTATGACTTTTATTATCAACTAAATCAGAGGTTTTCAAACTGCATTCCATGGTCGCAACATATTTTCACTGAAGCTAGCAAAGATTCTAGGGATTGGTTTTCACACAAAGTTTAACTTCAGATATTTTGTGAAGTAGCCAATTCTCTTTGTATTTTCCATTTCTGTAAGTGTATTTCTTTCTAATTTTATCTTACAGTGATTTTCAAATCACCATGGCTAAAGGAAGTGGGAAATATTTTAAGTTCAAAAAAGTTTTAAATTAAGAAACAATACAAGTGGTCAGGCACAGTGCTTCACACCTTTAATCCTAGCACTCTGGAAGTCCGAGGCAGGAGGATCATTTGAGCTCAGGAGTTTGAGACTAGCCTGAGCAAGAGTGAGACTCCGTCTCTACTAAAAAAATAGAAATAAATTAGCTGGACAACTAAAAAAAAATATATATATATATATAAAACCAGCTGGGCATGGTGGTACATGCCTGTGGTCCCAGCTACTCAGAAAGCTGAGGCAAGAGGACCGCTTGAGCCCAGGAGTTTGAGGTTGCTGTGAGCTAGGCTGACACCATGGCAGTCTTGCCTGGGCAACAGAGTGAGACTCTGTCTCCAAATAAAAAGAAACAAGTGTTACTAACTATAGCAAAAAAATTTATTTTATTTGTCTTGCGGGGATGGCAATAATGACTATTTTAAATGGAAGAACAGTGTTATGACAGCCCCATGATTATCATCCTGAATTTTCCAATAAGTAAACACTACTATCCTAAACATTTAGTTTTTATTTAGACCTTTCCAATAAGGGTCACTTTTGGCTTGAAGTAAAGTGTAACATAAAACCTTTAGCTTCAAGATGTATTTTGCAACAGAACTTTACTCTTTTCTGCCTGTGCTGTGCTAGGGGTAAAACTCAGAGAACTGCATCAGTTTAAAGTTTTACTTTGCACACCACAGTGTATGTCACCTGGATATACTAGTCATGAAAACTCCCAGTGGTCTGGCCACGGAGAATACAGTCTGATTGGACGTGAGAAGAGTTCCACATCTTCAAGAAGTTTGAAAACTGCTGCCTAGCCTAGTTTGCACAGCTTACCTCAGAATAGCTCAGAACGCCTCGTGGGGTAGCAGAAAGTGACAGAGGAGAACCAGTGCCACTATCCCCAAAATGCTGTCAGCCCTGCCGGCGCAGCCCGTGCCCTGCATTCCAACCCTTCACAGCCGCTGTGCATGGTCACTGCCCTGCCAGCGACTCTCAGTCTTCCGGCTCGGGGGCTCCCAGAGCACAAGGGTCGGTCCCCAGGCCCACAAAGCCTCCTTTGAATGAATAGAGCAGGGGGCCGGCTGCGGTGTCAGAACAAAGACTGAATGTGCCTAATCCAGCCATTGAGAGCCAGGCGACGAGGGCTGCACCTGTAAGAACAATGCCACATCTGAAGCCCACACGGCACCAAAAGGTCCCTCCGGCTCCCACTGCCCCCTCTCCTCCTCACTCCTTTGTGGCTGTCTTTGTTCCTCACTTCCACTGCTCCTTTCACTCAGCGCACCCCCAACCCCCAGGGAAACAGAAAGAGGCACGTGGGGCTGAGGGCGGCATTGCAGCAAAGTCAGGGGAAGGACCCAAATCAGCAGAGGAAGCTCATCACCTGAGGCTTAGCGGGCGTCCCAGCTTCACAGACTCCTGCGAAACGCAGCGAGTTTACTATCAAACCAGCGTCCCTACAGGAAGCTGCGCCTGGGGCTCCACACATCTCCGGGCAAACCACAGCACACCGGCAGGTGACTTTGTATTTGAGAAACACGGGATAGACGTGGAGAAGGGAGTTTCCATTCACCTAGCACACCGGCACCATACCGCCACTGCACACCTGGGCCCGGCTTGATGAAGAGCTCAGGTTTCAGGTAACAGGATGGCAAGGCCACTCTTTGGTCCAGAGCTTTCAGAGCAGGTGAATGGCCCCGTGGCCTTGGCCCTGAGTAGTCTGGGGCCCCTCCCTGCATGGCTCGGGCTCCTCTTCTCTTCCCA